GGAGCTCTTTCAATCTACAGATTCATTTTTTTTCTTTATCAGTGAAATGATCTTTCTTCATTTGCACAAAATTGTCTTCTGTTTAAATGTTTTGGAATTATCAACTTCAGGGACATAAATACTCTTTTTGTTATGTTGCCTTTGTCTTTCTTATTTATTGATTTCTCTCCAATTGCTTTAATCCATTTCCCCTTTTCATTCCCACTGATTGTCTCAAGCCTTTCCTCTTTGTTGGTAAAATTGTCACTGGTGTCTATTCTGTTTCCTGCTATTTCTAATGAATATTTTTGTTCTATCATCATCATGCTTTTTTCATTCTCAATTTGTTTCCCCGAGATCAAAATATCCTTTTTCAGCTCATGCTATTGTTTCATCATCTCATCTGTGAGTTCTTGTTTTATGGAATTTATGTTCTTATTAAAAGTGTTCTATTTGTGGGATGCAATTATTAGACAAGTCCATGGATTCAGCGAGTTGATGTTATCTTCTTGGTGGAATCTCTAAGATTAGTTGGGGAAGGGTATTTCATTGCAATGAGCTATGGGTCGTTTCCCCAATTTAGAGTGTTGTTCTGAAGCCTTCATTTCTCCAGAGAGACAGTGTTTGTTTACCTTTTTCCATTTCTCTAGTTTTTCTTCCAGAATGCTTTCTACTATTCCTCAGTCACAAGAAACAACAATGAAAAATAAAAAAAAAACCAACAAAAGTGGAGGATATCTGGTCAGTTTGCCTCTCTCCAGATTTGGGAACATTAGAATTTTCTAGAAGTTGTCACCTTGTCAGTAAAATTCTAAGAAGGCCCAGAATTCAGGCCTTGTTGTGTCTCTCTGTTCTTTTCAAAGACCCCTGCCTCCATATTCCCTTGACTATTAGTTTCTGAGGTATACTGCATTAGGGTCATATTACTAATATTGTGTGTGGGGAAAGCTATTTGCTGGCTTCTACTATTTTAGGATCACATCATTATCAGGGGTGAGAAATTAGGTGGTACATTTTCAAATTTCTCATCTCCAAAATCGAAATCACCATTTTTTAAATTCATAATTTGGGTTTACTTTGATCTTCTCAGGGGTTTGATTGAATTTTCTACTTCATGGACATAACAATTATGCTATCTGTGTCATCCATGGTAATAAAAAACAATATTCATTCTTGTCCCCCTTCTCAATGGGCCTATTTATAACTAGCTGTTTGATTGCTACCTATCAAATATTCAAATCGATAACAGCCTTTAAGTGAAGATAACCTGAGTCAGAGAACAGCAAAACAGTAATTATGGGGAATACCAGGAGTGATTCTTGACATGACAGGAGCATTTCACAGGCTTACATTTTCATAATTAGATTCTGCTTTCCAAGGAGACTCAAATAACTACTGAATCTAAAATGTTCCTTTCCCCTTGACAATATACACCAGGGGGTGGGGGTGGGGGGTTGGGAATGGAGTCTCAAAGGGTGGAGATGCATTTTCCATAAAAGAAATTCAGGAGTTTCAAATGTTTTTCTTTCATTCCCTAAAATAAGAATGCATGGTGAAAATGTGAGTTTTCCTTATTGTTAATGTATTGTACATTAACGCTGTACAGATGCTAGGAAATTCTTTCATAATAATTGTTCCAATATTGTCTGGACAGTTCTGCTGTCTGACCTGTCAAGCAACATGCCTCACAACAGGAGAGCACCCCAAATCTGCCAGCTACTGCTGACTGAGTGACCTGACTATCTGCACATGCTTCAGTTTCTGCCACAGTTATCACTTCTAGTGGCCCACACAAGCCACAAAAGTGGAGGCTCACCTGGCAAAATGTGTCACTTTACTGAATTCCAAGATTCAGTATTACAGAGCTTTTTAACTAAAAAGACATTAGCAGACTACCACCTAGTTCTGCCTAAGACATATAGCCTGGGTGGGTCAATATTAGGAAAAAATGGAACTAAATAAAACAGTTACAATTCAATAGTATATAAAGATCTCTGACTAAAAATCATGTGTATTGGTCAAGCCTGGCCGAGTGATTGGCGTCTGCATTAAAGCAGGAATGCATAGTATCCAATATAACTAGAATAACAAATGGGAACTCTAAAGCAATGGCTAACAGCAACACAAAGCTTTTTCAAACAACTAATCTCAAGAAATCTGGGGTTTCACCATTCAATTACATGTCCGACAACTACTTTGCCTTTGATTATTATGTAATGAGACATTTCACAGAACACGTGAACGCACGCACACACACTAACTACCCCAATTTATAGTCACAATTGGCACGAGAAAATAATTTAATTCTTATCAGACCAGAAAAACCAAAAAGAAAAAGAAAAAGCTGATTGATAAGATAAACTAAAGAAAACTTACTATAAAACAAAAAACATTCCCCTGTGTGACATATAAACTAATGCATCTAGCTTATTTAGTGGAACAGCACATGGTATTGAAGAACAAGGTGCCCAGTTCATTCACTTGAATTAGTAATAACAGTGGTGAGTACACACACTTTAATAACATTGTGGCATCTGACCCCCCTGTGAATGCCAAGAGCTAACTAAGAGGACACTATTATTCTTCAGTTTACAAATACATAAGCCAGTTACACAATCTAGCAGCAGAGCTCTCTGTTCTGAGAGCTGTTGACTCCTAGAACAGTGCTCTCTCCCCCACTCCATACTGCTACCATCTATTTTTTTCTCTCTTTCAGATCCACAGACTCCATCCATTTCTAAGCCTATCAATCACATCCATGCCACTGGTCCACAAGGGAGATAAAGGAGATTTGTAGCTAAATTAAGACAAACACACCCCTAACTTAGCAATGAACTTAAAAGGGCAAACCCTACTGAAATAAGCTGCCAGAATCACCATCACTTCCCCCTCCCCGCTAACATCAGTGATACTCAAAGTTTGCTGCATATTAGGATTGCTTGGGAGATTTTAAATATCCTATTGCTCGGGCTGTTTCCCATACCAATTAAATCAGAAACTCTGGGGATAGGACCCAGGCATTGGTATTCTGTAAAATACTCCTGGTGACTCCAAGTTTGAAATCCAGTTCCTCAGAGGACACACACAATAAAGACTGGGGGAATTAAATTGAAGGACATATTATAGTAAAAAATATTAAACATTATATGTCATGATAGGGAGGATGCAAATGTTTTTATGTTTCAAATTTTAAAAATAAATAGAACTTGGAGTTTCCTTATTTATACCAGTAAGGTTTGGGTGTTAATGTCAATCAACATCACCGTTTCATTTAATAGCTGCAGCTTAAATGTTGTTTTCTGTAAAACTGACAACAGCATGGACAGTCTCAAGCAGTGTCCTGCTTGAAAGTATTGTTACTTTGTATAAAAATCATTAACTGTTGGAAAAATGACAATCTCAGCTAAAATCAGAAAAGTTAGGTACGACTGTCAAAGGCATTGAGAAATGGTGAACTTGCAAACACCTGTACTGAGATTCAATGTCAGCAGACAGTTGCTGCTTAAAAGGCACAGCTCTGTCTCCACCCTATGAAAAACACATTAAACTTGCAGCACAGAGACAGGGCTCAAAGGATAAAGGGTAACACTGAAAAATTATCTAAAATAGTTCTTTTTAAAGAGTTGGTTTATAGTTAAAGAATAAAATGCTAAAGTTACGTGACCAGCTAGGTCCTTCAGGAACACACCGGCTGAACCCTCCCCAAGCTCTTGTCAAATTTACAGCCAGGAAGGTAACAAACAGTACTGAAATTCTGGTATGTTTGCTTTAGATAAATAGACACCACTAATTAGTAAAACTCCTGCCACTGAAGTGTAAACATACCAAATTTTCCAAAGTTGGCATTTTATTCTAATTCCATGAAAAGATTGGGCCAAGGGAAGACTCAAAATCATCATTCACTAACTGAGGTGTAAAAAAAAGTTGTTTGAAACACAGACCCGTAAATGGGAAGGTGTTCAACATTCAGACATCATGCCAACCTGTGGAATATTTTTTCGCGTCTAGCTAGACCAAGTATACTCTGCTTTATGTTGCATTCTTATCATGGAAGTTTAGGTGGTGGTCTATACTCATGATTAAGCCCATATTAGAACATGCGAGGGAGAACTTGAAGCCAATTCAGACTGAAGCATTCAGAAGAGGACCAAAACAAACCCCAATCTTTGTGAACTAGCTAGAGGAAATAAATATGAAAACCACCAATGACAAGCGAAATTGCCTGGAGAGGCTCCTCTTTTTAATATACATACATAAATAAAGCAGACAAGTTTCACCTCTCATCAGCACATCTCCTTGAAGGCACACACACATACACAGAGAAGCTAGACATTTGGGATCTGTTACTGTTATTCTATAAAACATTGCACCTGCATATAACACCTATGTGTGTGTGTTATGCCAGCGCATCTGCCCGACAATGTTAGACTCCCCAAATGGCTTTGAAGAAAATTAAAATAACCGTCTGCTAACAATAATTTCATTTCATCCTAAATAGTTTCATTTTGGGCTAATGAGAAAAATCCACATTAAAACTACCTTCCCAACTCCAGTAGCAAACACATTTCAGAAGGTAGGTCTATAAATAGATGTGCTTTTGCATGCACACTGTAAATATAAAATCATCAGGCTAGCCCAGGCTGCAACTGAAGCCCCAATAGGAACTTACCTGGTTTTTTAAAGTCCCATTGGAATACACTTACAACCAGTACTGATCTAGTACCTTTTTCTAGTTGCAGAGTAAGGCAAAACTACCCCCAACTACATTTTACTTATCTCAGCCCCATCCTTCATCAGAAGCTTTGAGATTTCATTCAGAAGCAGCCGGCCCTCACCAGACTGAAATATGCGCAGAAACAGTAATGGAAGGGATCTAAGTTAAACCCTACAGACGCACCAACAAAATAGCAACACCAACCCCAAAAAGCAGCAAATCCTTGAGAGCTGCTTTTCTTAGCTGCATTTCCCAAGTCAGCCCCCCTTTTCACGCGTCAAATGTCTGTTACGAGAGAGGCTCTTACCTGAGCTGATCATACTGTGCATCCGGTGCTGAGCCAAGAGCTGCGCTCGTCCAGCCACCCCATCTGAGGAAAAACACGAGTCACTCTCGTAAATTGTCTGCAGCATATTCCAATCACTCTTAGTTCAGCTACATAAAAGATTCATCTCTGCTCAGTGCACCGGGCCCCAGGAGCTACCCCCGCTGAGTCCTCCCTCCTCCCGGAGGAGAAGCGGCAGAGGATCAACTTCGACAATGGTTTTCTTTCTGTGAAGATGGACAGACACTTTTTCAAAAGACCTGGTCACTTTTTCCCATGTTACCAACCTGTGTGCCAAGCAGAGAGGACCAGGTGGATGCTATGACTCTCTGGAGTTTAGGTTATCCTGGAAACTAAAAGCAGGTGGGAAACAGGAATGTGCTTCAGGGTTATTGCTTTGTCAGAATAAGTAGAAAAATATTAACTCTACCCACGAGAAAAAGAAACCAATTAAACCTGGCTTAAAGTTCTTCAGGCTTCTCGAGTTCCGTTTTAAGAACCTTCAGTCCTGCAAGTGGCTTCAGCTCTGCCCTTATCCTATCTGTTTGTGTGTGTGTCTTCCCCCTCTGGTCTCTCTCCGCTCAAGTTGGCTAAAGCTAGTGATAATCCATTTGCATATGAATCAACAACAGCATAGCCCACAGGCACAGAAATAGAACAATGGTCGGCCTGAGCCAAAAATAGGTCAAGCCTGGCCGAGTGATTGGAGCCTGCATTAATGCATTTAAAAATACCCCAGCAAACCCAGCTGTCCAGCCTCTATCTTTCAAACCATAATTCTCTATTGCAGGGCCTTAAAAGCAATTAACTCTTTCCTCCCTTCCAAGCTTGCTTTACACACTGTGTTTCCATACTGGCGATTCGCGTCCAAAGAAAGGAAGGCAAAAAAAAAAAAAAAAAAAAAAAAAAAAAAAAAAAAAAGAAAGAAAGAAAGAAAGAAAAGAAATTAAAATTAAGAAACAGTTCTAAGAGGGCAAATGCACATACATTTCACTTTATTTTATTTTTGTAGTATGTGTTTTTGGAAGAGAGGAGAGAAGTGCAGAGCTCTGTATTGGTTCTAAAATAATACTGGAAGCTTTTGCTCATAATGTGGTTTCTGCCTCACCCACGCACAGCAATCCTGGTGTTCTATTTTTGTTGCCTGTTTCTCTGGCTACACTGCAGTTGGCTGTAGCACTAGAAGCATTTTTGCCTTCTAGTTTCAAGACTGACAGGAGATTTAGTAGAGGTAGTTTCGGAAAACAAGCACACCCCAGAATAAAACGCTTATAAAGGAATGGCTTGATTTTTTTACTTGCTATTTATAGAAGGCAATTGTCCATTTCAGAAATCTAAATATGATGGTAGTAGCCCCCTATCAATTTTATTGCATCCAGTCTCTATGACATCAACATTTAAAAAAAATATAGCTTAAACCTGAAAATATTCCCTCTATTTCAACCTCTCAGTCTAAACTGTTTACCTGCACAAGGAAGTGTGGGTGCTTTCTTATGGATGGATGCAAAATTAGTGAACATATGCACCTGTAGATCAATAAATGAATATGGTGAGTCCCCAACTATGAATGTTCTTCATTCATCTCTACATTGGTTGCCTGAAATACAGACCTTAATTTTCTAAAAGAAATAGCATCTATAATAGTTGATAGATTCCCAGAACAACACACATTAAGGAATTCACTTACAAAGTAAATGAACTATACAGTATATAGTACTAAGAATTCTATAGTCTCTGGTGAATGCCTCCACTCACTTATGATATCATTTATTTATGAGAAATAAATTCTACATCACAAATTGGGTTGCTAGCATCTAGCCACTCCCATGGGCAAATCCAAAAGTGATAATCCACTGATCATGGGAGGTCTTCTCCCTTTTCTAAACTAGATCAGCAAGGAACATGTCACTCCTAAGGTATTAGTATTAATGGAGAAGGAAGAAGAAAAAGCTGTGTTTCAAGGTCCCCAGAACAATCAGATAGAAGAGGGATCTTGGTCAAGACAGAGTGTAGGACAAGGGAAAGAAGACAAGAGGACCAAGAGTTTTAGTGGAAAGAAGGAAACCTGTTAAATCATTAGGCAATAACCCACTGCAGAAGAAAATGGCACTGACTTTTCCTTCTTTCATAGATTAACTCTTATTTCTTGCAAAATTGTATTTGGACAGATAAATTCCAAGATTTATTTAAAAATATATATATTCCGAACTACATTTACTTAAGCTAAACAAGAAAAATCTTATATTCCTGTCAGTGGAAAAAACTATTTAATTCTATCTGATATTACAAGTAAACTTTCACTCAATTAAGAAATTTGGTGTACAAAATGCAAGAGATAGAAATACTGTGGATCTGGTCATTTATCTCAGAGATGATGTAACCAAACATAGCATTTTAGACCTTGGGGGAAATTTAGAGGTTGCCTAAAGTGGTGTTCAAACTCTCAGAAGTACCTGAGAGTTGACTCACAGCATCCTGTCACAGAAAAGTTTCTTCCCCCAACCAGGGAAGCCTCACTTTTATCTGTTTACATTTAAGGGTTTTTTTGTATGTGTTTATGTAAGGTTTCCTTTGAACAACAACTTTTTATATTAAGAAAAAAACAATTGAAATCCATTCATTTAGGATAAACAAGCTCCCCATTTTACACATGAAGAAAGTAAAGAGACTTGCTCAAGGCTGTAAAAGCATTCATTAATGGAGTTATGACTAGAGTCTTGTTTAGTTTCTAACAGGTCATCTCCGAGTAGGTCTAGCATTCACATTCTCGTGTCCGCCATTTGTCCCTTACTAAAATGATGCAAATAATTAGCTGAGATATTCAGAATAAATTGTAATAGTAGCTACTAACGAAAAATGGAATCACTGTCTAACTGTTTCACAGTGGTTTTGAACCAAATATACAAAAGTAGTGATAAACAGGGTCAGCCGAGTGGCGCGTGGGCTAAAAGTTGGCTTGGGATGCCAGCTCTGAGGAGCAGGGCCCTGGTTCGGATCCCACATGAGGGCCAGTGACGCTGCACCCTTTACAGGTAAGATGGTGAACAACAGCTCGACCTGGAGCTGGGCTGCCATGAGTTGTGGGCGACGGCTTAGGCTGCAGCCCCTGCTGCAGTCAGTGAGTGGCCAGCAGATGGTGTGAGGTGCCAAGAGCCGCTGTGAGCGGCTGTCCAGTGGCCGGAGAGCCATCTGCCTCACCCGGGAAGAGCACAATGATCACAATACCAACATGGGCCAGTGAAGCAATGGCCTCCACAACTAGACTGAAGAACAAAAGGACAGCAACTTGTCTGTTCCCCTTCCCAGATTCCCCAACGCCCCTCCTCCAAATCCACAATAAAATCTTAAAAAAAAAAAAAGTAGTGATAAACATATTAAGGGAACAAAAATCCCAGTATTGACGTAATATACTCATATATCTTTTTGTCATATTAAAGTTAAACCCTCAAACTACAAAAGTCCCCAAGCTTTTATAATCATAAAAAAGAAAATAAAACTCCAAAAGAGTGAGTTAGTAATTATCCTATTTCTCAGAGGTTCTTGGAAAGGGCATTCCACATAAAATAGTATAAATAATGTGCTTTCTTCATTTTGACAAGTTATTTAACTTGAGGTTTATTTACATTTCATCCCTGAATTCTTTCAGCATTTGTTTTCCCATTAGCAGTCTTGTCTTTCAACACTTGATTACAAAAACTTAGTATAGAGTGAAAAGACAATTAATACCAGTTGCTTCTGGAAGGAAAAATAGGCATTATTAAAAACACCACCAAATACATTGATTACCATGGCTCCATTATCCAAGAACTTAAATATTAAGATGGCTGAGTTAATTTTTCTCACATCATCTCAACATTGTCGGTAAAGAAATGTGACTAGGTTTCTTTTCCGGCATTTACAAAACTGATTTTACTGGATTAGAAAAAAAAGATATTAAATTTTATATTATAAGAACCATAAAAACCTAATGCAAATATCAGCCTAGATTAGATAGGCAGTTTTTAATATCTCAATATAATCAATTTTAATTCAATTTAATAAATTTTTGGAAGTTGATCTAAATGTTATATTTTACATTTATTCAAATAAAAAGTGAAAAAAATAGGGGAAAAAACAGGTTTCCAATTTAATAGAAAATGGGAATGGGGATCAAATCTTAATGCAAAATGTCATTCAAAAGTGATTATGATAATTCTAATTCTTTTCATGCAGGTTATAGGCAAAATTTTTTAAAAATGTATTAAAATATCTATATGGCATCAAAATATTTCCAGAAATAGCCTTAGACCCCTAGCTCACAATATCCTTTTCTGAAATCCACTGGAAAGATGGTAGCGTATAGCCTGATTTATTTCACCACAATAATGTATCCTCTGTTCATGTGTAATCAAGCATAGACTTTTCATGCGGCACCAAATCTTATGATTCTAGAATCTAGATGCAATAAGATTTAAAACGTGTTTGCCTGACATACTGAATTGTGCTTTACAGGAGAGTTACAAATTAATCACCAAAAACTGGAATTCCTCCACTTACTCACGTTGCTTCTTCTTCTGTCCTCACATTTCTCAAAACTATTGACACAACAATAAAATTATACACATTTGCCCTCAGGCAACAGACTTGGTTCCCATAGACTCTCAAGGATAAGAAAGGAGAGGGAAAGTACAGTGTAGTAATTTTTATTTTGAGCTAAGTAGCTTAATTATCTGAATTTTCTATATCTTGGAGGAACATCATCGATTCTTATTAAATAGTGAATACTCAATTTACAAGTGATTCCTCCCACAAAAACAACTAATTGTTTACCAAATGGTCTTCAGATAAGGAACTGTTTCCTGGACCCAAGAGTAGGTAAAGGGTTTGAGAAAACACATCAGCAATGTATGTTTTATATAAAATATTTTACACAGTGCAAGCCTTGAAGGTATAAATGTATACAGGAAATGTCCCAGCCTCTACTTTCAGTGGAATTTTTAGTTCTTGGAGACATACAGTCTAAGCAATTACTATAAGTTTGATAAGAAACTCTCTACCTCTAGATT